CTCAAACTGGCTGTCTGAGTAATTCCAGTTCAGCAAGGGGGGAGTTCTGCTCCTGTTTTCTTCCAGCCCATCCCTCTGATCTCATCGCCAGCACAATCGCAAAATTCCTTTCTACACTCCGTGGGCTTCTTCCACCTCTGCTCTGATCGTGAGGCGCAGGGTTGAGTCGCAGAGACGATCGAGGGGGGGACAGGCAGGGGCAGATAAAAAGAGTGCCCCTGACTCTGGGAGTTTGAAGCTTGAAAGCAGCTGTTCAGCCATGTTGCAACATCTGGCTGTGGCGCTTTGTACGGATGCATCCCTGCCCAGAACTCCCACCCCATCCCTTCGGAACAGTGCACTACTGCCTGGGAGCACGTCAGCTCCCTGCTCAAACCAATTCCATGGAAAAACATGAGGAGGCTTTTGTCCAAACTTTCGCTTTCCTTTCATGATGTATTATCGGTAGGCACTCCTGTGCCTGATCAAATCTTTCGAGATGCTCTTGCATGTTCAAAAATGAGATAGGGCTTTGGCCTCCAGCATTGGTCCTTATGTTTACCTTCCCTCTGGATTTGTTGTTTCAAGCAGGGACACAGGCCCGCGCATGTCTGTGCTCCTGAAAGAAACTGTGGAAAAGTGCGTAGCCCCATTTTCAGAATAGGAAGGTTCCAGTGATGGTTTTGATAACTGCAGGTTTGCACCATTTACTTGCCGATGGTGGCCTCACCGCTTCACAACCAAAATCATTTAATGCATCATTTTCTAGAAAATAAACATGAAATGCAGTTTGGAATGTGTTTTTTTTCCCTATCACTTTATTAACTCCTTACAATTTCTTGCATTAGAAATTATCTTTTCACATACCCCAGCTTGCTCTCCATGAGACACACAGACAGGGTCTGCCATTGTACAGTGCCCCTGGAGCAGTTGGGGTTAAGGGGCCTTGATCAGGAGTCCAACAGAGCAGGAATCCTCTGCCAGCTGTGGGATTTGAACCAGCAACCTTCCAGCCACAGGTGCAGATCCTTAGCCACAGAGCCACCGCTCTGCCCCACCCCAAGATCGGTGATTTAAACTATCTACTTAACCAAGCACTAGTGTGGTTAAATGAGTGTTCAATAAGCACTGATTAAGAAGCAGCGCTATCATTGTTTATTAGGAAACTAATATATAACTGTTCTTCAGAACAGGCTGTAATCAGGGCGGTAATCACAAAGGGAAATCTACAGTCCTGCAGCAACTCACAGCCAAAAGGGCACATTTCTTATGTGCAAAGGTTGGGAATGGGACGTGAAAGAGTGGGAGTCTGAAACTGGGCTTTTTCTCGGCACGGCCTTCGCGTAACAGGACACTAAGCGGATTTGGAGGCTCTTTTGTCCAGCAGGGCGGAGAGGCTCTTGTTTCTGGTCCTGGCTCTCCTTCACTCCCTCTCATACTCCCTTACTTACTGGCCACTTTTTTGTGTGGTTAATTTCACAATCTCCCTTCTCCCTTCAGGGCTGGATAGGAGAGCAGGAGGGAGGGAAGGGGTGGTGCTAAGCCTGCCTTGGAGGTGGAGATTTGAGCGCTGAGTATAAGGCAGGCAGCTTAGAAAGCCCCTGCTCTGTGTCCCTGTGCCTCAGCTACTCCAGGTCACTCTCCTGTGTTTCTTTCTCTCTGCCAGCCAAGACTCCCCCTTCTCTCGCCATGAGTTTCAGCTCCAGCTCCTACTCCATGCGGCCGGCCGGCTCCATCCGCACCACGCAGATGATGGTCAAGCGCTCGGTGCCACTCAGCAGCTCCGCCAGCGTCTACGGGGGCGCCGGGGGCCGGGGGTCCCGCATCTCCCTGGGGGGCTCCTCGGGATTCGGCGGGGGGTTCCAGAGCGGGGGCTCCTTCTCCTCCTCGGTGTCAATGAGCGGCTCCGGGGTGATCACCAACGAGAAGGAGACCATGCAGCATCTGAACGACCGCCTGGCCTCCTACCTGGAGACGGTCAGGAACCTGGAGCAGGCCAACAGCAAGCTGGAGCTGCAGATCCGGGAGGCCCTGGAGAAGAGGGGGCCTGCCGCCCGCGACTACAGCAACTACGACAACATCCTGGATGACCTGCGCAAGAAGGTGGGTGGGCGCCGCGGTGTGTGTGGGGGGGGGGGGGGGGAGTGGGGTGAGGATGCTGTGCGGGGTTGGAACGGAGGTGGGCTCTCAGGGTTCACACAAGCAAGGTCAGCTCTCCCTTAACCTGCTCTGACTCCTGCACTCCACACTGATCCAGGGGCTGCAATCTAACCAAACACCACCTGATCATTTATCTTGAAATCTACCCTGTTGTGCTTTTGCACCTGAAAATAAAAGAGAATGTATCGGTGTATTAGTGCATTGTATCTCAAGGAGATCAAAGCAGAAAATCACATGACCAAGGTTTAGCTACATATAAAATCTGGACAGGAAGAGAACCGGTAAGTCTTCAGCCTCCCTTAAGAATAGGAAGTCTTGAATCTACAGAGAAGGTCCAAATCTGAAAGATTCACTGTCTCATTATTTCAAGGCCAGTGTCCCCTCTGTCCTCTTGAAACGAAAAGAGTCAGGCCACAAACAATTCTGCTTTTGTCTTCATGTGCTTTATAGATCCTTGAGCTGCAGCATGTCTAGACTCTGCAGATTGTTCTGCAAATTTTTAAAATTTGTCAATTTGAAAAAGAACTGTTGTCCTGAGAGACAGTCATGAGGTAGACAGAGCCTAGTTGGTGGTTAATTCATTGGAACAAAAAAAAGAGTGTTTTTGCACTGTTTTATCTCTGCTGTAAACTCGGTGAATCTGGATACAGTGAGAGAACAATAAAGCCTTTAAAAGCGGATAAAGTTTCAAAGTGCAGGAAGTGCAGGTCTGCGGTGTTTGAAAGTAAACAATGGTTTTAAGTAGAGGTGATGATTAACAGTCAATACCCCCCTCCCCACAAATTATTGTGTTTTCACACTTGGGTGGGTCCAGTGCTGTAGAAGGGGGAAACTTATATTACAGTGTATTCGCACCGCAATATATTTTCAAAGACAAACATCATCAATCATTTGAATTTATACTCACAATTACTTTTCCTAAGGAAGGTTCAGGGGTTTACTTTGCAATTAGGGCTCCACAGTTGGTTGGTTCACTTGCAAATGTACAGTCTCCCAACAGACAGATCACAAGATAAAATATGTGATAATAGCACGTCCACATACCTAACAGTCATTTTGAATGACATTTATGGAGATTAAATATCTTAATTATTAAAGCTTGCGTAATCCTGCCAGACTTGAGCTCACACTTTCAGTTCATGTGCAAGTCTGTAGGACTGGGAAAAGTGAACTTAGCTTCCAGTATCTTTTTTAGAGCATTCTGGTGGGTTAATAACTAACTGGAGCAGGCTTGCGGACCACTTAAGATTCCTTTTTGGTGTTAGCCTTTGTAAGGCACTGTGTACGATACCATCTAAAATATAGCTAGTTAAAAATATAACCTAAGGATATGTAAAAGAAAATTTAGGAGGCTGGCATTTTGCTCTCTCTCTCTTTGCATATTCACTCTTGTCTTTTTTTACCTTTGCAGTTGGTTTATGTAGAGACCGTACAGTATAACACTGGCCTTTTGGCTGGGCTGTGAAGAAAGCTCATTAATGTTTAACTTTGCAGTTTTGCCATCAGAGGCCAACTGTGAAAGAAGGGGCCAGCGGTCAGCAGAAAGGAGCTCACTTTACCTGCCTGCAGCCCACAGGGAGCATCTGGGAGCTCAAGCTGTAGTATTGGTCTCATCTGACTGGCTTGAATCTGGCCCTGTTGGGTACATGTTAAAGTGTGACACATCTTCCACCTGACTCTGTACCTCACACCTGTGGCCTCTCTCTCCTGTAGATGTACAGAGCCTTGTAGTAGTGTCCATCCCAGCTCCGACAATAACTGGGAAGGCTGGATTTCATAAAAACAATACACAGGCGCAGAATCCCTCATGTAATTTGAGCAATGCATTCCATGAGCTGGGACCAGGAAGCTCAGTGACTAAAAGAGACCTGGCTCACTGCAATCTAGGCACACCTTAGACCAATATCAGTGACCTGTGAACCACAATCCAAACAAACAATCCTTCTCCAGGACTGGGAGCCCTGTTAAAATCTTAAATGGAGGATGACTTGGCTCACTGAGACTCACTCCTTTTGTCTCAGATCTGTCTCTGTTACATACAAACTACCACACAAATGTACTGACAGCACAAGTTAACACACATATCGCCAACACTAACCTACTACTGCTCAGATCTTGTTGGCTTCGCCCATGAAGTAAACATAGTGTCACTCTTCTGCTCTAGCATTCAGTGATTCATATAAGATTTACTGAAGTCCGGGAGCACGGAGTCCTGGATTGTCCATAGGGATTTGCATTCACTAAAAGGGGTTTGATTTTTAAAAATCATAAGACTAAGCAAACTATTCAGTTCAGCTGTTTACAACCCAGAATATTCCATCACACTGCATGACTTCACTGCAGGGCCATGCTATATGTGCAGTGATGCTGAAGAAGACAAGCGTTCAAACCTTCTCAGCTACTGTATATTGAGTCTTTGAGCAAGCGCCAGGGACTGACGTCCACTGAGAGGGAAAAATGCCAGCAGTATCCCGGAGGAATGCTTTAGATTTTTTTTTTGACTAAACTTGGTAGTTGTGAATTCTGCTGTTGCTGGGGAGCGTTCAGTCAAGTAACTCGAAAGAATGCTTTGAAAGCGCAGTATTTTGGCCAGGGCACTGTTCCCCTTATCACACCCCAAATGCAAAACAAATGTCTCTGTGAATCTCTGCAGGATTCAAATGAGCGGGTGTGCAGTTTGGTATCATTAGTCACACCAAGCCATGTTGAGAGCTGCTGCACTGTAGCCATATAAGCATACAGTCTATACAATTGTGTAAAATAGCATACAGGTGCACACAGGAGCACACAGAGCTGGAATATTTTTTTCCAGGTTTTAATGCTGTAGCCCGAGATCGTGGATGTTCACTATAGTATGAGTCAATTAACTTACTCTGGAGGTGGAGATGCGATGACTTTTCAAAAGAAAATTTGATGTGACTGAGAAAATTCCTCAAGTGTGCCAATACTTTAATCCAATCTCTACAAAGTCAGGTGTATTGTGACCTATTGCTTATGGAATGTGTTTCATTGTGCGGGACATTTCTTTCCTTATCTCTTAAAGTTTTGCTTTTGTTCTGCATGAATTAACTTTTCACATGCTTTGACTACATAGGCATTTATTTCGGCTCCTGATTGCCTTGCCTGCTCAGAACTAAGAGAGGTTTTCTTACAAAGAAACAATAATTAAAAAATAAAAGGCCTTTTCTGCCATTTTCTCTCAGCTTTTACACTTGCAAACACAAGAACAGCTGGCAAACGAGAGGAGGTTCAGATACCAGTTAATTGATCCAAGCATCTCATTCAGCTGTTTGTGTGGCTATTATTGTGTGGCTTCAATAATATAGCCGGGTAGCTTGTTCCACACTCCTACCACCCTTTGGGTAAAGTCATACTTCCTGTTCTTGGTTTTAATTGCACTTCCACATGTACTCTGAGATTAGGTATAAATATCTCAAAGTAACCTTCCTCTTCCTCTTTCCCGTCAGGTGTTTGACATGACTGTGGACAATGCCCGTCTCGTGCTCCAGATTGACAATGCCCGGCTGGCTGCTGACGACTTCAGAGTCAAGTACGTTCTTCTGTCCCCTTTACTGATGCCTAGCAAAGAGGAGGGAGGGTAACTAAGAGAAAGGGAATGTTCAAGATCATGCAAAATGTGGCAGAAAACCAACATGCATAAAATATTACTACACTGTTCAGGGCATGCAAAAACAAAAAACTGCTTTGTTTAGTCTTCTCTCTCCAACACCACACCATGAACAGATGTAAACAACACAACTACAAAACACAACTACAGCTGGACACTTAGTCTTGTACATCACATACTGTAGGGCCTGATGGAGTCACTTTTATATTTCAGTGCTTGGTAGTTTAAAGTGGCCCTAGCATCCTTTGAAATGAAAGGCAGAATAAAAAAGCAAATAATTCATTCTGTCCAAAAAGACATCGGTTTTTATTTATTTTTTAGATGTAAGGAGTTCAGTGGGATTAGCAGAAGATGTCCTGAGGACTCAAGTCAAGGCACTCTGGTTTAGGAGATTCAGCTTGTGCCCCCTGTATGTTACTGACCTGGCTGTGTGTGTGTGCACCTGCAGGTTCGAATCAGAGCTGGCCATCCGTCAGTCAGTAGAGGCCGACATCGCCGGACTGAGGAAGGTCATCGATGACACCAACATCGGCCGCATGAACCTGGAGAGTGAGATCGAGGCCCTGAAGGAGGAGCTTGTCCACCTCAAGAAGAACCATGACAACGTAAGGCGGCACCAGCTGAGAGGGACAATATCAGCAGTGTTGGCAATAGCTGCTTCTAGTCTAGTCTAGTCTGCTGTTCCTTATTATGGATGCCCAGACTGTTCATAGATCTATTTCTAGGGAAAGATTTCTACCTGAATGACTGTGGTCTGCCTCTGACCCTTGCCTTCCCTTTGCAGGATGTGCTGGAGTTGCGCAACCAGGTCTCCCAGTCTGGGGTGCAGGTGGATGTGGACGCTCCCAAGGGGCAGGACCTGGCGCAGATCATGGCCGAGATGAGGGCCAAGTACGAGAAGATGGCACAGAAGAACCAGGAGGAGCTCAAGGCGTGGCACGAAACTCAGGTACCAAGGGTCTCTTTTTCTCAGATCACTTTGTAATTTCTCATACCTGGGCGGAGGCAAGAGTACCTGGCTCACACACCTCCATCCTCTTTCCCTTCAGTCCAATTATAAGACATTCGTATAGTATAATTGTCCTTTTATTTGGAGCCTGGGATAATGGCTGGAGGCCTGTCATGTCTGTCTGAAGCTTAGAGACTCAAAAGTCCTCATCAGACAGTTCGTGAGGAGAACTGCTTCCTAGTTATTCTCATCCAGTTCATTTGAATTCTTGTTTTAGTTTAGTACTGATTAAAGTCCCATTTGTAACTTCACTTACAGAGCTTTGAGGTGGACCTCAGCATTAACAGACACTCTACACAAACATGCAAACTGTCTTCTGTCCTGCATAGATGAGCCCGAATCTTGGATTCCATCACAAAATTCAAATCCAGCCACTGTCCTTGCGTCTGATGCCCTAGGGGTGTGTCTCTTTCCCTCCCGCTCCCAGATCACAGAAGTGCAGGTGCAGATGAGCCAGAACACAGAGGCCCTGCAGGGCGCCCGCACAGAGGTCACCGAGCTGCGCAGACAGTACCAGGCCCTGGAGATCGAGCTGGAGTCTCAGAGAAGCCTGGTAAGGACTTCCCTCCTGCCACCCTTGATGGAGGCATCAGTAATCACATGTGCAACGTGAAGCCTCCATGTTCGCCAACCTGCAGAGGGCTCACGTCTCCGGGGGTCATGGTCTTCATCAGCTCTTCAGGCTGATCTGACAAGGACAAGTTCATCTTGACAAGTTTAGCCAGAGCTCGCTTTCCTGCAGGTTTGAATAGCAGTTAAAACTTTGACAAGACGTGCTCATGTGCTCTGTTGCCTCCGGTCTCTGCAGAAGGCTTCCCTGGAGGGGACACTCCGCGACACCGAGCTGCGCTACAACATGGAGATGGAGAAGTACAACACCATCATCATGCAGCTGGAGGGGGAGCTGGGCCAGCTGCGCAATAACATTCAGCAGCAGGCACAGGAGTACGAGGCCCTGCTCAACATCAAGATGAAGCTGGAGGCCGAGATCGCCACCTACAGGCGCCTGCTGGACGGCGGAGACTTCAGGTAAGGGAGCCGCGCTCGCCTCTCCTGATCAGAGGTCTGGAACTCGTCTCTCGTTGGTCAGTAGGAGCTGTCCAACAAGGGGTGTTTCGCCTGGTTATTTTGAGCGCTTTACACTTTTGCTTTCACATTGTTTAATCACGATTTCTCTGAGGCACTTCTGCTCTGCGCATTGGGGATGCCATTAGTAGCAGAAAACAAGAATCCTGACGTGGTGTGGTTGTACCACACAGCGCTTCTGTAAAACTGGTGCAGAGGATGGTGTGATCATGGCCTAGTGCTGTAAGGCAGAGTGAAAATCGTGGTAAAACCCAAGATAGACTTGTAGAGAAGGAAAAGGAAAACCATGGTAAAGGTGTGGAACCAATCACATTTGTACAAGTAAAATAACCAGCACCATCGCCACCCGTGAAAAGCGAATTTTGGGTTTTTAAAACGGCACAGGTCAGAAAGTGAATCAGGCAAAAGACTGACCATATTCATAACACCTGGTTATGGGGGACAGCAGCCAAGTGCTTGGGCCGTGCGTCGCTCGGATGCATGATCTTTGGATGTTGCCCATCCCGTAATAACTGTCCCGTGCTCGTCTTCCTCTGTGCAGGCTCCAGGACGCACTCGAAGACCAAAAGACCATCAAAACCAAAGTGACCGTGACGCAGATGGTGGATGGGAAGGTGGTGTCGCAGAGCTCCGACACCAAGGAGATCAAGTCATGAGCCCCCAGACCATGTCCCCCCCATCCCTGTAGCACAGTGGTCGGCATCCCTGATCCCAGAGAGCCACACTTCTGCAGAATTGATTGTGCTGATCAAGTGATCAGTAAGCAGAGATTTACTAGAGAATACTAGCTCTTAGTATACAAGTCTAGATAATGGAACAAGTCATAGGTTTATTCCATGCTGAAAAAAAGAAGAAAGAGAACACAACGTTTCAGCCGTGGAGCCTTCTTCAGGTGTGGACCTGGTGTAGGCACCTGAAGAAGGCTCCACGGCCGAAACGTTGTGTTCTCTTTCTTCTTTTTTTCAGCATGAAATAAACCTTTTACTTGTTCCTTTGTAGCCTACGCATGCTGACGCAGCTACCCACCTGAACTACTAAAGTCTAGATAATGTCTCAGTGAAGCCATTTTGAGCTCCGCAGTAAAAACACAGAAGACAATGTGGTTCTCTTGGACCAGGGTTAATTAATGCCTCTCCGCTAGCCCGTGTCGTACCCTCATCTCCTGAAACAAGAACCCTCTTTCTTGTGCCCCACTGGGAACCCTCCTTTCCCCACCCCACACCCTCTATCCCCCTCCCCTCTGTCCCACTAATCCTCGGGAGAGGAAGAAGAAGGTGCTGTTCACTTGCTGTATGGATTCCCAATAAACCTCTTTTCTCTATAAAGTCTGGCTCCTGTGTTTTCTGCTGCCCTGGTCCTTGTGATGTATAGTTTGAACTGTGGTTCTCCTGCACAGCTCGTGTAGAAGCATGGAGAGCTGGGGGGGCACCGGAATGTTTCCGAGCTCCGCCCCCCTGCTAGCAAGGCTGTGGAGTGATACGGCCGCAAGGGGGGACCCCACGCCCCACTTTGGGGCCCATGTTTCCGCTGCTCTGGTGTGCTGCAATTCAGTCAGAATGTAGGAAATCAAAAGTGAAGTGAATAAGGTAAACAAACATCATGGCCAAAGTAGATGCTCCTGTTGATTTATACTGATTGTGTCATTAATGCAAGTGATGCTTTTCTTATTTACTTTGAGGTTTACTATCAAGTCTATAGGATAGGTTTGTCTCCTAGAGGGAAAGATTTGTAAAAGTGCACAGCGGGGCCAAGAGTGACTAACAGGATGCTTAAAGAGTGTGGGGTGGTTAAGCAGGCTGTTCTCATCCCAGCATCAATTTCTGTAAGACAGACAGGTTTTGAGATGTGATGCTCTTGATGATTTGTCCTATCATGCCAAAAACTTATGAGATCATTTATTAGCGCTGGGACACTTGGACTGGGGAAGGACTTATGAGGGATTTCTGTGTTTTTTTTACCATGCCCACACCATTCTGGGATATGTCATCCAGTAATTTTTAATGTTTTACCTCATTGACCCAATACATGGGATAAACTCCTGTTGTCAGATCCCAGTGGGTCTCACATTTAATTTTACAAGATGACAAGTCTAAAGAAGAATTGCAGTGAGGTAATATCAAAAGGATATGTTTGCCAAATATCCCTTGCTCGATATGTATGAAGATGGATTACAACGGCTCAAGAGCACCAAGTCCCATGAAAGGCAACAGCTTCTTATTAACTGGTGCCTATTGAGCTCAAAAGGTCTCAGAAGGCCAGTTCTTAACTAGCTTTAAAACCACCAAACCAAATAAGGAGACCAGTTTCTCAGCTAAGCTCCCTTTAGTCAGATAGCATGGAGTGTTCCCTCTAAGTACTGAACAAGTAAACTCTTAAGAAAATCTTATCATAATTCATTTTCTGTCACAGCTTGTGCAGTGCATGATGATATGTGTTGGTTCTAAATTAATGGAGTCTGTAACGAACGTTCAGGAGGGATGACAACAATCAAGTTCAATCAGACTCAGGCTGTCAGTAATTAGCAATCATCCTGACATCATTTCTTCTCCTAAACACTATAAATACCATACGTGATCCCCATCGCTCCCACACCCCACCACCACCTCTGCAGCTGCACCTTGGTCACCCCTCTCTCTGCATGAGACCTGTGGCCAGGAGGTTAGAAACTTCTCCAAAATGTCCAAATTGCTAGGAAATTCTTTCAGCAGGATAGTTGAGATCAGAATATAGTTCTTGATTTTCTTCTCCTTCTTGTTTGTTTTAACTTTATTCTTGTGGCCCTTTTTCTGAGTTTCACCACCCATTCTCCTTTTTTTTCTAGAGTGCTTGTATACTCTGTGCCATTGCACCATAAAAGCCACTATATCAAATAAAAGTTAATTGATTCAATCTATAATGATAGGGCTCATTCATTCCTGACCTAAAGTGTTCTTTTAAAGGGTGAAGTTACATTTCAGCAGGGGTGGGAGTCTGGTTTGTGGTCTGAAGCAAAATCATTTGAAACCTGCAATTTCTAAATGATCTAAAGTATACTGTAGATTAAAAACCATGAATCCCATCTTTTCTCTCTCTGCTTCATATCCACATGTTTTCATTTACCTTTCTCAATCTAGACGAGAAGAGTCTACCTCTCCTGCACTGGAATTAATCTGAAGATGACTCAACGCCCAGCTGTTGTGCATTAGGTACCATGAAAGTACATGTTTTTCTACATCAGAGTCTCCCTAACACCGGATAGCAGGCATTCTTCAGGCAGGTGGTGCAGGACTTTAAAAGAGATCATGGCAGATCCAGATTCAGTACAGCCAGACTTCAAAGGTTGCAGTATTTAAGTGTGTGTGCCAGCACTCCTGTTGTGTCGATCTATATCTGCAAATGTGGGTAAAATAACCATTCCATAGCGTTAGGGTTGACAGGCTTGGTGTTTTCATTCCATTAACAAAGTACTGTTTTTTGAAAGGGTTTCTATTTACATGGCATGGTAATTTATGGATCCTGATCTTAAAATAATGTGTCGCATGCTGCTGGGGACATGCTGAGAGTTATCATTTCCCCCGACATATCCCACAGTGGGGTCAACTGGGTCATTTGTCTTTGTTGCCACCAAGATGATTTCATTTCATTTACTGTTTGACAGCTGTTTTTTCCTCTGTTCCACTACTATATCGATCCCATCACAGCTGGACATGACTCGCCTAACCCCAGCTCAGCTCAGCTTGTCTCAGCACAGCTCAGTCCTACCTACCTTAGCATAGAACAGTATAGCACAGCAAGGCTTCCCTTAACTTGCAATCCTGTCTCTCATGCAGAATACACTCAGCGTTAGACTCTGTTCCCATGTGGAGGAGCAGCAACTGTGAATGTGGGGAAATTTATGTAGACTGCCATGGTTCTAGAAATTGTTTTATCTTTCAGCCATTTGATCCTATACTGTACACTGTTTGGAATCACTGGTGTGCTGGTAAAATATCTTTAACACTTTGTCGCCACTGGATAAAGAGTCAATTTCTGCCTGGTATGATGTCCTCTTAAACATTTTGTAATATCTCTAGAAGTTTATATAATAGAAGCTTGGTTTATGGTTTAAAATAAAGCTAAACATTTGATCAGTACAGTAATGGCTTCTGTTAGAAAGAGATTGCTTGATCTTTAATGGGTATGAGGCAGGGAATACTAGCATTTACAACAGCAATAGTGATCTTCATAACCTCTTCGAGTGAGAGTTATGTGGAGTGCCAGACCTGTCCTTGTTTCAGCTGGTTGTCAGCCTGCAGTGGAGAGGCGAATGGCGTGGGCAGTGCGGACCCCTTTCTCAGACATGTCTGTCCCACCTGCATGTTTAGCCCCAGGGAGCTGTCGGGTTAAAGGTGGAGCTGGTGGTGTTTCTGGTTCTCCAGGGGCACAGGCGGGACCTCTGATGTCTCTCTCCTGACCTCTGGCCAGGGCCAGGACAGATGCTGCAGGAATTCCTCTCACTGACACCTGGCTTTCATCTTCACCAGAGAGCTGTGGAGAAACCTTCACACAGGCACCGCTGAGATCATAAAACAATTACCCTCACACCTCTTCTGAGAAAGAAACAATAAATGCTGAGCTGTAAAATGTCATGTGAACATTATCTGAAGTAACTGAAGGCATTGTAACCCATCCATGCCTTCATTTTTTGTATCTATCCTGTTTTTGATCAGTTAAGTGTGACTTAAGAACTCCTTAAATGTGACTCTAAAGTGTGTAAAGTGCAGCTAGCTTTTCAAATAGGCCCTGCCAAATAGGCCATGATATATGTTTCTTACATAATGTTACAGTTCAAGTTAATACCTAACATGATATTTTCAGTTTAAGCAATATGCAAATATTTATTGAGCAATGCTTATTCATTGCTAGGGGTAGACAATAGCTAACATCCACAATGAAGGTGATTGATGATGTTGATATTGATGCAGGTTTAAAGAATGAGTCAGAACTTTGCATAAAAACTATTTTAATTTGCAGTAAAACAAATTAAAGAAGGAGAAATTAGGTATTTAGCTGTATAGGATCTCTTGGCGTCAGTGCTTTGCAGTGAGGTCGTGTTTCAATGCATGCAGAATGAGAGAGACGTCCCATATGAGAAAAACTTGTCTGAGTGGACCAATTTCTTTTTCCTTTTTCTAAAACAAAGTATAATCCCAATTTTTTTTTGTGAGTTACATAGCCAATGATTTTGATATCTTTGATATCAAGAATGAAGGCACACAGATGGACCCCCCTGACCTGCCCTGACTCAAAGTTCAGCTCCGACTGGAGCAGCGGTGCGAACTGTGCTGACATCATCACCACCCTGCAGGTCCGTGGGTAATGTCTGGAGTGTCCGTTACTCTGGGAGACAAGAGAACCTTGGGTAACTAATCCCTGGATGACTGTTCACCCCCACTTGGGGAACCCCACTCACCCACATGGCAGCACCTGGGGAGTTTTTTTTTTTTTTAATTTTTCTTTATTAGCCCTGTACAATTTCTTAAATTAGGAATTCGTCTTTTCGCATACCCCAGCTTTTCTCCAGGGAGACAGACACAGACAGGGAGAGAAGCTTGGGGTCAGAGTGCAGGGTCAGCCATTTTTACGGCGCCCTATCCGTGTATCTCATGGAGAGGAAGTTTGGGTATGTGAAAAGACCCCCCACCCCCCTCAGTCCTCAAGTTTTCATGGGAGGGATGACACCCCCTCTCCGTGAAATCAATTGTTCAAAATTGGGATGTCTGTGTATAGGAGGCACAATCTGTTAAAACAACCAAAGCGTCTTTTCCACCTGAAGTCAGCTTCCATTCCGTGCCCTCTGACCTTGTGAGAAGACAGGCTGATGATTGTATAAACATTTTGTGTCCCGT